GCTCCGGGGCTTTGGGGCGGGGGGGGCCGGGGGCGTGCGAGGCGCCGGTGGGGACCACCGGCCCGTTGGGGGTCACCTCCTGCGGGCGCCCCGGGTGGTGCTCGGCCTGTGGGGACAGGGGAGAGGGGCGTCAGGAACCGGAACTCCCACGGGAATGTCGGGGGCCGGAGGCCGGAGGGAAGGGCTGAGTGAGGAGGAGGAGGAGGAGGAGGAAGAGATTCTGGAGGCACAGACGCAGCAGCAGGAAGGAAGCGTGGAGCTGGGACCTTCAGAATGACCTGAGTCTGACTAGGACAAGGGAAGCTGCGAGGAAGAGGAGCAGAGGTGCTGCTTCCAAGGAGGAAGAGAAGAGGCAGAGCGAGGAAGAGGAAACTTTCGGTGCCAAGGATGCAGCACCGGCAGGGCAGGAGGTGGCCCCTGCACATCCCCACTCTGGGAAGCTGCGAGGAAGAGGAGCAGAGGAGCTGCTTCTGAGAAAGAACAGGACAAGCACAGTGAGGAGGAGGAGGCAGAAGAAGAAGAGGAAGAAGAAGAGGAAGCTGCTCCAGAGCCAAGGATGCGGCTGGGGAAGGAACCTGCTGCTGACCCCAGCGGAGCACAGCAAGCCGTGAGGAAGAGGAGCAGAGAACCCGCTCTGGAAGAGGAAGGAGAGCAGGAAGAGGAGGACGAGCAAAGGCCTGGGGACACCCCTTTACCTGGGCGCTGCCCCCCGGGCCGGGGTCGGTGTCGGCGCGGGGGTAGGTGTGGAAGGGGCGTCCCGGCGCCGTCTTCAGCCCCGCTCCGGGGGCGCCGCCGGCGTCGGGGGGCCGCAGGTCGGGCCCCGAGAGCGGGCGCTGCTCGCGGGCCGGGGGCCGCGGGGGTCCCTCTCCGGCCGAGCTGGATTTGGGGCGGCCCCCGGGGGCGTGGGGGTGAGGGTGGGGGGGCTCCCGCCCGGGGAGCGGGGGGGTCCCGGGGTCAGGCCGTTCTCCGGGGGGTGCCGGGGGGGGCAGGGGGGGCTGTCCCGGCGCAGGGAGTTGGAGCGGGACACGGACACGGCCGCCAGCTCGTCCAGGAGCCAGGCCAGGGTCCTGTCCCGGCCCCCGGGGGTCCCATCCCGCGTCCCTTTGGAGCCGCGCACGATGGGCTGCGGGAAGGGGGGAACACACGGGGGAAATGGGAGAGAAAGGGAAAAAAACAACAGAAAGGTGACATGGAATGGCTGCAGGAGGGTGGTGGGATGGGCACAGGGGAGGGGGTTCGGCTGGGGTGTCCCTCTGGGGAGGGTCCCAGAGCCCCAAATGACCCCGGGTGCTCCCCGGGGATTGGGGTCTGGCCTCGCGGGGAGGGTCCCAAAATATTGGGGGGTGTGATGGGGTGGGAATTGGGGGAACATCAGAACTGAGGTGGGAATGGGGGGATGTGGGAATGGGAGGATGTGGGAATGGGGGCTTTAAACAACTGGGAACACACACAATGGGGAAGAGGTCAGGTGGGAATGACTCCGAGTTCCCATGGGGTGGGCTGGTTCCAGGTGTGGGGAAGGATCTCACCGGGGGAATCCCTGTCCTGGGGGACCCAACTGTCACCTCCCTGCCCCAAGACCCCCAAATTCCTCCCACTTTGGCCCCAAAGAGCATCCAGGATGCCCTTATACACTCCAAGACCCCAAATTCCCCCAAACCCACCCCCAGGACTAAATGAGCCCCCACCTCCCCCACAATCCCAAAATCCCCTGGTCCATAACTCCCCCAATTTGTCCTTTTGGGAGGTAGGAAAGGCATGGGGACCCAGCTCCCACCTCCCTGACCCCCAAATTCCCCCCAGTTTGGCTTTTTGAGTGGCTGACACAACCCCTGAATATCAACCCCTGACACAACCTGCTCCACAACAACCCCAAAATCCCCTCGTTCCAAGACCCCCAAACCGCCCCCAGCTCAACCCCAAAGAGTACCCAGAACCCTGTTAACTCCTCCAAGACCCCAAACCTAGAACGGCCACCTTGCCACGCCCTCCCCACCCCGTAATCCCCCCCGAATTCCCAACGCTCTGCCGTAACCCCGCGGATTCCCAACGCTCCCGGCTCCCCGCACCTTGTGGGCCCCGCGGATGGCGGTGATGCAGGCGGGGTCCACGAGGGGCTTGGGGCGCCGGGCGGACTCCTCGAGCAGCCCCTGCCACTGGCGGGGCAGCCCGGTGAAGCGCTGCTCCGAGGCGTCGTAGCCCGTGTGCACGCGGTGCTCGAAGTTGGACGGCGCCGAGATCTCCACCCGCTTCTTCTTCTTGGAGAACATGGCCCGGCACGCGCTCCTGGCAACCCGAAACCCCGGGGTTAGCGGGGTGGGAAACGGGAGCCACCATCGGGAATGGTGGCAGCCCCCCCAAATCCAGCCCTGGGAGCGGGAACGGCCCCGGAAATCCGGTGTTACAACGGGGAACGGCCCCCGGAGCGGGATCGGTGCCTAAATCCCATTGTTAGAGTGGAATAAACTGGAAACGCTGTTGGGATGAAGTGTGGAGGGGATCAGCCCTGAAAATCCCCCTGTTGGAATGGTTTTTATCCATTGTTGGAATGGACGGGATCAGCCCCAAAATCCCGCTGTTGGAATGGTTTTTATCCATTGTTGGGATGGATGGGATCAGCCCCAAAATCCCGCTGTTGGAATGATTTTTATCCATTGTTGGGATGGATGGGATCAGCCCCAAAATCCCGCTGTTGGAGTGATTTTTATCCATCCATCATTAGGATAAGCCCCGAAAATCCTGTTGTTGGAAGGGTTTTTATCCATCAATCACTGGGATGAGGTGTGGAGGGGATCAGCCCTAAAATCCCCCTGTTGGAATGATTTTTATCCATTGCTGGGATGGATGGAATCAGCCCTGAAAATCCCCTGTTGGAATGGGTTTTATCCATTGTTGGAATGGACGGGATCAGCCCCAAAATCCCGCTGTTGGAATGGTTTTTATCCATTGTTGGGATGGATGGGATCAGCCCTAAAATCCCCCTGTTGGAATGGTTTTTATCCATTGCTGGGATGGACGGGATCAGCCCTGAAAATCCCCTGTTGGAATGGGTTTTATCCATTGCTGGGATGGATGGAATCAGCCCTGAAAATCCCCTGTTGGAATGGGTTTTATCCATTGTTGGAATGGACGGGATCAGCCCCAAAATCCCGCTGTTGGAATGGTTTTTATCCATCCATCGTTGGGATCAGCCCTAAAATCCCACTGTTGGAATGGGTTTTATCCATTGTTGGGATGGATGGGATCAGCCCTAAAATCCCCCTGTTGGAATGGTTTTTATCCATTGCTGGGATGGACGGGATCAGCCCTGAAAATCCCCTGTTGGAATGGGTTTTATCCATTGTTGGAATGGACGGGATCAGCCCCAAAATCCCGCTGTTGGAATGGGTTTTATCCATTGTTGGGATGGATGGGATCAGCCCCAAAATCCCGCTGTTGGAGTGATTTTTATCCATCCATCATTAGGATAAGCCCTGAAAATCCTGTTGTTGGAGTGATTTTTATCCATTGTTGGGATGGACGGGATCAGCCCCAAAATCCCCCTGTTGGAATGATTTTTATCCATTGTTGGGATGGATGGGATCAGCCCTAAAATCCCACTGTTGGAATGGTTTTTATCCATCCATCGTTGGGATCAGCCCCGAAAATCCTGCTGTTGGAATGGTTTTTATCCATCCATTGACCACTTCCATCCAACATCCCCCACTTTTATCCAATTACTTCCCATTTACCCCCCAAGTCCAAGCTTGGAAACACCAGGAGCAGCAGAAGTTCCCACCTGGAAATGGAATTAGTCCATTAACCCAACCTGAACCAACAAACAGATTTAAAACACCTCAAAAAGCCACAAAAAATCTGCTTTTCCTGGGATCCCAGCGCCAGGATCAGTGCTCTGGGTTTGCCTGATTTCATTCCCTGTTTTTCCATGTTTTTCCTGCAGTTTCCAGGCCAAGAATGAGCTGAGCTTGGAAGGTTTCGGGTTCAGTGGAGGCATGAATCCCACTTGGAATGGCCCCAAAATCCCATGGATCCTGCGTGGGTCCATTTTTCCCACTTTCACTGCTTTTCCTGGTGGCAATTTCCCTGTTTCCTCACATTTTTTTTTCCAGCTCCTTGGCTCAATCCCATTTTCCAGGCTCCAGAATCCCAGTGCTTCCAAGGTTTTCTCACTGCTTTTCCCAATCTTTGAGGTTTTCTCCTTAAACCAATGATCCATTATGAAGTTTTGCTCCTCCTCCACTTCGACCCCAGCCAAAAACTGCCAGAATTCTGTGTATTTTCCATTTGCCCTGCTCATCCCACGCTGATCCCTCCTTCCACCTCCCTAGGACACGGCTGGGATCCTCTCTGGATTGCCAAAATCCCATTTTTGGATGGAAAATTCTCCCGGTTTGGGGGAACTGCAGCTGAATTTGGAGTGGGAGGATTAAAACCTGCTGCATTTGGACTTTTCCAGTTGTGAGCTCCATGGGAAATATCCGAGGATGATCCAGGTCAGGCAGGACATCAGGGAGGTGCAGTATCTGGACACCAAATCCATGGGATTTCACCCCAAAAACCCTCTTTCTTTCAGATGGCTGAGGAAAAGCTGTTGGCACTTGGCAGGGGCAGAGAGGTCCTGAAGAATTCCAGAGGGTGGGATGGGGGCCAGGAGGGGGTGAACTCATTCCTCAGCCCTTCCCAGGTCGCATTCCTGGGATCCCAGCGGGGTTTAATTAGTTACCAATTAACAAGGAACTGAGTCCACACCGGGTGGAATAATCCCGTGTTTTCCCTAAAATTCCCAACAAAATCCCACAAATTCCCCCCAAATCAGTGGCATTCAGGCTGTGTCCTGGTGGGAATCGGGCTGGCAGCTTCGGGATGAAAAAGAAAGGGAAAAGTAAAGGGAAAAAACGAGAACAGAGGCACTTCACGCCTTCCCATAAAGGCCAAATCCAGGAAAATCAGATGTCACTGGGCAGGAGAGCACCCAGGAAGGGACTGAAAGGGGATTTGCAGCAAATTTCAGGATTTTTAGACCGGAGCTGGGTGAATTTCAGGAAAACAAACGCCCAGCGTGGCATCGTGGCATTCCAGACGTGGCGTTTGCCTCCATCCTGCTTCCCAAATTCCAGCACTTCCACTTCTTCCCCCCGTGTCCTCTCTTTGCCCCAAAGTGCTGCATTTCCCCCCAACATTCCAAGAGGAACCAGAGAGCCCCGGGAAGATGGGGAAAGCTCCCAGGGAGAGCTGGGGTTGATCTCAAGGGATCCCAAAGGGAATCCCTGCTCCGGAGCCTTCCCGGGATCCCCGTGGGGACGTGGTGAGGAAATTCCGCCAGGTGAGGAACTCACCTCGTATTCCCACTGCTTATTCCTGGTTGGTTTTTTTTCCTCTAAAGCTCCCTGAATCCCAAACTCATGCTGGGCTTGATCCTTTTGGGAAGGAGAGGGAAGAGCCAAAGTCTCTGCTGGAAAATCCCTGCGCCGGTTTTTAACTTTTGGGGAATTATTTTCCTGGTGTCAGCCGGAACGGGAAGAGACTCCAAACCCTCCAAATCCACATCTTCCTGGAAAAACTTCCACCACTTCCCCGGCGGGAATTTGGGATCCTTGGGAACCTAAGCAGCTCTTTAGGGCACCGGGACAGCCCCAAGCGTCCCAAAAACTCCGGGAATTCCGGTGGAATCGGTGGAAGCGCGTTTCCCTGATGATCCCGACGATCCCTGGAGCTCCGGAATCCCAGGCAGGTCCTGCTGGGTGCAGGGTGGGGCTGCTCCGAGGGGTTCTCCTTAAAAAAACCCCAAAGTGGGAAGCAGTGCCGGGCTGCAGCTCAATCCTGGGATTCCCCACAAAGAGGTCACAATTCCCAGGAAAGCCAGGCGGGAAGGGGCTGGAATCCTGGGATTCCCACAAAAAGGGTCACAATTCCCAGGAAAGAGAGGCTGGGAAGGGGCTGGAATCCCCACAAAGGGGTCACAATTCCCGCTGGAATCCCAGGATTCCCCACAAAGGGGTCACAATTCCCAGGAAAGCCAGGCCAGGGCCGGAGCAGTCCGGCCGGGAAGGGCGGGTTGGACTGGCCCAGCTGGATCTGCCGGAGGAGGAGGAGGAGGAGGAGGAGGAAGAGGAGGAGAAGTGTCGGCCTTTGCCCCGGAGGAATCCCGGAATTCCAGGAATCTGGAGCCTCCAAATCTCACAGAAACAGGAAAAAAAAAATTCAGGACGGGGAACCAGGAGATCCAAGCTCCCAGGAAAAAGGGAAACAATCGCTCAGAGCTTCCACGATCAGCGGGAAAAGCGGGATGGGAGGGAGCCAGGAAAGGGGAGGGGAAGGGGAAAAAGTGTAAAAGGAAGAGGAAAAGGAGGAATTCTGGCGGAATTCCGCTCTTTTCCTGCAGCAGGAAGTTTCCCCGGAGCTGGAAGTGCAGGGAGAGGGAGAGAGGAATGTCGGGAATCTCCGGCTCGGGGCAGAGGAAGGGCCAATTAATGGAGATCCAATTAATGGAGATCCAATTAATCAGCAACGATCCCGTCCATCCACAACGATCCAGGTCACCAAAATCTAGGAAAATGGCAATCCCTCCTGGGGTCGGTTTGGGAATTCCTCCAGAAAACCCAGATATTCCTCCCAGGGAACCCAGGTTTTATCCCGTGGGAAACGAACAAATTAAAAGATCAATCAAAGCCAGGGGCAGGAACATCCTTGGAATTTCTTCCTGGAAACTCCGGGGAAATTCCTGCTCGTCCCGCAGCTGTTCATGAGATGTTGGTGACCAAATTCCCTCCTTTTAGCCCCAAACCTAAACAGGGAATGGTAGGAGGGGGAGGTTTGTGGCCATTTCCAAAGGATTGCTGGATCTTTTCCACATCTGGGTATTCCCCAAAACCCCAATTTCCACTGATTTCCAAGCCAATCCCTCTATCCCGCCACTACTTATTTAAAAATTCACTAAATTTCAGGAAAAAACGCAACTAAAGCCCAAATCCAGAGGCTTTTTTTGATTTTTTTTTTCTCCTTTTTTGTTGAGGAATGGCGACAGGAGCACCACAGAAAACCAGCGGGGATGGCAATTTCCCTTCCCGCTGCACCAAAATTGGGTGGAAACGCCGTTTTTGAGGAGTTTGGAAATTCCTGAGGAACTCCAGTGCCCCTCTGCCTTGGAGTTCCTGGCCAAATCCCACAGGAAACTCTGGAAAAAACCCATCCCAGGGCTCAGGGGCTGGATGGGAGCGTGGGGAGGAGACCCCCAAATCCCCGCGGGATGAGAAATTCCGGGAATTATTTCCGGATTCGTTTCCTACCTTCCGCCGAGGGAAAACTTATCCTGCCTCAGCTCCGCATTCCGGGTCCTCCGGTAAAAGTGCTGCACGGGAAGAACGGAATTCCCTCAGGAGCAGCCCCGGGCTCCCCTTTCGGGGGGTTTTTGGGGCGGGGGGCGGCTGGATCCACATCCCGCTGCTCTCCAGGAGCCCCGGGCTTTCCCACGGCTGCGTCTGCCGCCCCTCCGGGGATTTGGGGAGCCTCCAAGCCCACCCCCAACCGCCCTCCTTGGCCCTGGGGGCGGTCTCCGGAGCCCAGATACCCCCGAAATCCCCGAATCCCCCCCGAGCGCCCTCAGCGCCCCCCGGGCCCCCTCAGGCCTCACTCGGCCGCCGCCGCCGCCATGTTGGGACCGAGACACATCCGGGTCCTCCCACGCCCGCGTCGCCGCGGCGACAGACCGCGCCCCCGGAGGGCGGGAATACGGGCGGGAGGGGCGTGGCGAGCCAAATATGGGCAAGGAGCGGGGGATGAGGAGCCAAATATGGGTAAGAGGCGTGGCCTAGGGCGGAGAGGAGCACTATGTGGGCGGGGAGCCACCTTTGGGGGCGGGGTTTATAAGGGGAGGGGCGGGACCAAACGCGGAAGTTGCTGCTGGAGGGGCGGGTCTCCAGACTACTGCTCTCCAGCCTGACCAATCACCGCGCGAATCACGGAGATTGGCATCTCCGCTATCCAATCGCAGCGCGGTGCGCTCGGACCTGGGTAAGATGGCGGCGCGCTGAGGGGAGCGTGAGGGCTCCGGTGCCGCCGCTCCCCGCTGCCCTCAACACTGTGGCGCCTCCGGTCCCGCCGCTCCTCGCTGCTCTCCCCGGGCCGTTCTGACCGCGTCTTCTCCCCTCAGAGCCTCGGAGATGTCGCTCCGTGCCGTGCTCAGGGCCGCCGCCTCGCTGCCGCGCTGCAGTGCGTAAATCCCCCAAAAAATCCCCCCAAAAAACCGCAAAAAACCCCCAAAAAAAAACCCTCTGTCCGTGTCCCTCCGCAGGTGCGGGGCCGCTCCTCCCGCCGCCTCCTCCGTCGGCCTGCATGGCCACGCTGAACCAGATGCACCGGCAGGGCCGCCCCGCGCCCCCTGCCCGCAAGCCGGGGCCCACGCTGGGCCGCCCGCAGATCAAGGGCGTGGTGCTCAAGAACCTGATCCGAAAGCCCAAGAAGCCCAACTCGGCCAACCGGCGCTGCGTGCGGGTGCGGCTGAGCACGGGCCGCGAGGTGATCGCCTTCGTGCCCGGCGAGGGCCACAACCTGCAGGAGCACCACATGGTGCTGGTGCAGGGCGGGCGCACGCAGGACCTGCCCGGCGTCAAGCTCACCGTGGTGCGCGGGAAGTACGACTGCGCCCACGTGCAGGCCAAGAAATGAGCCGGGAGCCCGGCCCGGGGGGTCCCGGGCGGGGATGGGCCCAGCCTGGGTGCTTGAAATTGGGATTAAAGTGGATTGGTGATGTGGGGTGTGGTGTGGAGTGGTGGTGGGGTGCTGGGAAGAGGGGTGGGGAGACTGGGGGCCGCTCCGGGGCCGGGCCCCGCTCCCGCTGCCGGGGCCGCTGCCGCGGAGCGGAGCCGCCTGTACGAGCATGTGCGGGAGGGGCTGAGCGCCCGGCCGCAGCTCGACGTGACCGCCCTCAGCGAGCGCGACCTGGAGCGGCGGCGCGGGCCACTAGGGGGCGCCGCGCTCCGCGAGATCGTGAGTGGCGGGAACAGCGGTGGGCGGGGCCTTCGGCTGGGGAGGGGGCGTGGCTTGCCCGGTGTGCCCTCCCCCCCGCTTGGGCGTGGCCGCCGCGCCCACCTGAGCCACGCCCTGGCTACGCCCTTCAGGTGCGGACGTGGTCGCGGCTGGGGAAGGTCCGCGATGGCATCGCCCGGCTGGAGGCCGAGAAGGGGCGCGTGGCCCAGGGGGTCCGCGAGATCATGGTGAGACCCCCGGGAGCCCCAAAATCTCCACTGGGTCCCTCTGGTCCCCCCCTGGACCCCCTTTCCTTTCCCCCTGAACCACTCCACCATCCCCAGACCCCCCCAATGACCCCCTGACTCGTTTCCCTCCTCCCCCCCAGGCCTCCCACGACAAGGCAGCGGCCAAGATGGTAGGAATGGAGTTTTGGGGGGGCCCCGGGGGGCTGGTGGCCCCCCAGGCCCTCACGGTGGCCCTGTGGCAGCACCCGGAGCTGGCAGCGCTGCGGGAGCGGGGCCGGAGCCTCCGGGAGCAGCTTCGGGTGCTCGAGGCCGAGGAGTCTGAGCTGGAGCAGAGATTCTACCTGGGGGCCCTGCAGCTGCCCAACAGAACCCACCCCGCTGTGGTGAGACCACCAAAATTCACCCCAAAATCACCCAGCCCAAGAGAACCCACCCCGCTGTGGTGAGACCACCAAAATCACCCCAAAAACCTCCCCAAAATCACCCCAAACCCACCCTGCTGTGGTGAGACCCCCAAAAACCTCCCCAAAATCACCTCAAACCCACCCTGCTGCCTGGGGGGATCCAGGAGGATCTGGGGGGGGGTCCCAGGGAGGGTCTGGGGGATCGGAGTCCCCCGATCTCCCTTTTTCCCAGGGTTTCCTGCCCATGACGGTGCCGGACCTGCTGCGAGGAGCCGTTTTTGTGAGTGCCCCCCCCGAGCCCCCCGAGACCCCCTGGCACTCCTGGGGTCCCCGGTTGACCCCCCCTGTGCCCCCCAGGAGGGCTGCGGGGTCCAGCCCAGCGCTGCCCCCTCCCAAGTTTACACCATCGACCCCGCACGCTTCGAGGATCTGTGCCTGGCCGGGACCTCGGAGGTGGGGATTGCAGGTGGGGAACGGGGGAAAACGGGGGGAAATTGGGAAAACCCGGGGGAAAAACGGGAAAACCCAGGGGGAGAACCAGGGGGGAAATTGGGAGAACCAGGGGGAAAATGGGGGAAATTGGGAAAACCTGGGGAAAGAATGGGAGGAAAACAGGGGGAAATTGGGGAAATCCAGGAGGAGGGGGAGAGCTAGAGAGAAAATGGGGGGAAATTGGGGAAAACTGGGGAAGAACCAGGGAGAAAAATCTTAAAAAATAGGAGGGAAAAAGTGGAGAAGGGGGAGCAGACGGATTTGGGGGTCACTCTCTGTCCCCCCATCCAGGGTATTTCATGGACCACGCGGTGCAGCTGCAGGACCTGCCTGTCAGGTACAGGGGGCTGTGCCCCCCCAGGGACCCCCTCCCCTTGTGGGGATCCCACCCTGCTCCTCTGGGGGGGCTCTGGGGTGTTTTGGGGTCCCCCCTGAGCCCCGTCCCCCGTCAGGGTGGTGTGCTCCAGCACCTGCTACCGCGCCGAGACCGACACGGGCCGCGAGCCCTGGGGGCTCTACCGCGTGCACCAGTTCACCAAGGTACTGGGAGCACTGGGAGAGCACTGGGAGGACGCTGGGGAGGGGAGGCAGAGGCGGGGGGCTCACCCCCTGTGCCCCCCAAAAGGTGGAGATGTTCGGGGTGACGGCGGCCGAGAGCGGGACAGAGAGCGAGGAGCTGCTGGACGAGTTCCTGGGCATCCAGAAGGAGATTTTCTCGGAGCTGGGGCTCCATTACCGGTGAGGGGGATTTGGGGGGGGGTCCCCCCAATCCGTGGGACCCCGAAATCCCTCCTAACTGTCCCCCCCCGGGCCCCGCAGGGTCCTGGACATGCCCACGGAGGAGTTGGGGCTTCCCGCCTACCGCAAGTTCGACATCGAGGCCTGGATGCCTGGACGGGGCAAATTTGGGGAGGTGAGTGGGGGGTCTGGGACCCCAATAATTCAGGGGGAGCCCGAATAACTTGGGGAGAACCCTGATAATTTGGGGAGAGCCCCAGTAATTTGGGGAGGATCCAAACAATTCTGGGAAAACCTCAAAAACACAGAGGCACCCAGGGTGACGCTCCCCTCACCCCCTCCCTGTTTACGGCCCCCCTTTATTGTCACCTTTGCTGCCGGATCAGGACCCCCATTTTGGGGGCCCCTGCAGCGGAGGAGGGGGCTGCCCCAAGCCTGCTGACCCCCTCTCCCCCTCACCCCCCAGATTTCCAGCGCTTCCAACTGCACTGATTACCAGAGCCGCCGCCTGAACATCATGTACAGCGGGGAGGGGGGCCGGCTGAGCCACGCCCACACGGTGGGTGACCCCCACCCAAGACCCCCGGGAGACCCCCAAAAGCCCGGGGGGGTCTCTAGGCCCCCGTGACCCCGTGTGTGCCCCCCCAGGTGAACGGCACCGCCTGCGCCGTGTCGCGGATGCTCATCGCGCTCCTCGAGTGCAACCAGCTCCCGGTGAGTGTTCTGGGGGGGGTCCCACGGGGGTCTGGGGGCTCCGGGGGGGCTCACCCTGCCCCACGTGCCCCCCCAGGACGGCCGTGTCCGGGTGCCCCCCGTGCTGCAGCCGCTGGTGGGGCGGGAGGTGCTGACCCGGCCGCCCTCCCCCCTCCTGCGCTACATCGGCCCCAACCAGCCCGGGGGGGGCCCCCCCAAAATGGGGCGGGGGTCCTGAGGGGAGGGGTCCCCCTGGAGGAAGCACGGATGGAGCTGGGACATCGCGAGACAGCGGAGACAGGAGGTGGGGCACGTGTGACAGCCCCGTGTGACAGCCCCGCCCACGGTGACAAATCCCGGGAATAAAACCTGGAAATCGCCCTTGGCAGAGGCGTGTCCCCTTGGCACAGGTGTGTCCCCTTGGCACAGGCGGGTCCCCTTGGCACAAGTGCGTCCTCTGCTTCAAGCGTGCTCCGGGGACACACAGGTGTCCCCCAGTGTCCTGCACTCACACAGGTGTCCCCTCAGTGTCACACATGTCCTGCACTCACACAGGTGTCCCCCAGTGTCACACATGTCCTGCACTCACACAGGTGTCCCCCCCCACAATGTCCCCCCCATTGTCACAACGTGTCCTTTGCTCCGAGCGCAGCCTCTCCTTTATTTCCCACTGCCCCCCCCAACCCTAGGGGCTCCCCCGGGATTTTGGGGGGCGGGGGGCGCGTCTTCAGTAGGTCCCCCCGGCTGGGGGGTGGCAGGGGGACCCCCAAGTCCATCCCGGGGGGCTCAGGGGGGGTCCCCGGGGGGTCTCTCAGCGCCTGCTGTTGATGACAATGTCGTCGTACTCGTCCTGGGGGGGAAGAGACGTTTGGGGAGGGGGGCGGCTACAAGAGTGTGTGTCGGGGGCTTGGAAGGGTTTGGGGGCCCTCCCGGGAGCCCCCCGCTCATCCTGGGATCTCTGGGGACAGGGCGGGTGTGTCACCGACTGACCTCGCTGTCCTCGGCCCCGCCCTCGCTGTCGCTGCTCTCGCTGCTGTCGCTGCTGGGGGGGTCGCGGGCCCCGAAGCGGCGCAGGAGGGGCGGCAGGCGGGGGTCGGGGCGGCGCCGGGCGCTGTACAGGGGGGTGAACCCCGAGAAGGTGCGGGGGTCCGGCCGCGCCCCTCCCCGCAGCAAGCACTCGGCCACCTCGGGGCTCTGTGCCTCCACGGCCAAGTGCAGGGGGCTGCGGCCACAGCTCGGCTCCTGGGGGGGCACGGCGGGGTCAGGGGGCGGCGAGAACCCCCCCCTCCCAGCCTCGTTTTTGGTTTATTTTGGGGGGATTTTGGGGGGCACCCACCGGCCGGTCGGGGTCGGCGCCGGCGCGGAGCAGGAGCTGCACCAGCTCCAGGTCCCGGCGCAGCACGGCCACGTGCAGGGGGGTGTAACCTGTGGGGGGGGGACACGGGGGGTCCCAAAGCCCTGCCTGAGCACGTGGGACCTCCCCCCAAACCATTCCCCTCCCGATGTGCCCCCCAAAGAAGCGCGACCCCTCGCCAAAAAGCCACGTTCCTCCCAAAATTCCAAACCCGCGGGACGCCTGAGCCGTGTCCCCGTCCCCAAAAAAACCCGCGGAAAACCGTGACCCCCTCAAAAGCACGATGAGCCCAGAGCCACACCACGACCCCGAAAAGCCTCCCCCCAACCCACGACCCCCCCCCAAAACGGCGCCCCCCCTGCCCCCCCACCGCCGTAGTTGCCGCTCTCCAGCTGCGCCCGCCGCTCCTCCTCCTCCTTCCGGGGATCCCGGGGGGGGTCCCGGGGGTCGGGGGGTCCCCCCAGCAGGGCGCGGGCGCAGGCGGGGTGACCCTCGCGACAGGCCAGGTGCAGGGGGGTGTGACCGCCCCGCTCCCGCACGGTCACGCCCGCGCCCGCCGCCCGCAGCCGCCGCACGGCCCCGGCCAGCCCCAGCACCACGGCGATGTGCAGGGCGCTCTGCGGGGAAAAAGGGGTTAAACCCACCCAAAACATCGCCCCAAAACAGCACCGTCACGCCGAAACATCGCCCCAAAACCTCAGCCCAAAACACTGCCCCAAAACCCCAGCCCCAGCACCACGGCGATGTGCAGGGCGCCCTGCGGGGAAAAACGGGTTAAACTGACCCAAAACATCGCCCCAAAACAGCACCGTCACCCCTAAATATCACCCCAAAACAGCCCAAAACACTGCCCCAAAACAGCACCGTCACGCCGAAACATCGCCCCAAAACCTCAGCCCAAAACATCTCCCCAAGAACCCAGCCCAAAACAGCACCATCACCCCTAAATATCACCCCAAAACATCGCCCCAAAAACCCAGCCCCAAAACATCAACATCACCCCAAAACATCGCCCCAAAACAGCACCGTCGCCTCAAAACATCACCCCAAAACATTGCCCCAAAAACCCAGCCCCAAAACATCAACATCACCCCAAAACATCACCCCAAAACAGCACCGTCGCATCAAAACATCGCCCCAAAAACCCAGCCCCAAAACATCAACATCACCCCAAAACATCGCCCCAAACCCCAGCCCCAGCACGATGTGCAGGGCTCTGGGGGGCGCAGGCTGGTTCACACCTTGGTGGGGGGGGTCAAACCCCAGCCAAAACTCCCCCCTCCCTGCAGCTGCACCCCAAATCCCCCCCCAGCTCCTGCGGGACCCCCTCTGGGGGGCGAGCCCACCTGGCCCAGGTCGTTCTGCAGGTCCAGGTACGGGGAGCGCTCCGTGTGCCGCAGGATGGACTCCAGGAACTGCTCGTGCTCGTGGATCACGGCCAGGTGAAGGGCCCTGGGGGGGCACGGGCTGCGGGGGGCTGTGCGACACCCCCAGGGGGTCCCCAAAAACAGACTGACACCCCCAGACCCACAGGGGGTCCCCAATAAAGGACTGACACCCCCAGACCTAAATGGGGCCGCAATAAAGGACTGACACCAAAGGTGGTCCCTAAAAACGGACTGACACCCCCAGACCCACAGGGGGTCCCCAATAAAGGACTGACACCCCCAGACCCACAGGGGGTCCCCAATAAAGGACTGACACCCCCAGACCCACAGGGGGTCCCCAATAAAGGACTGACACCAAAGGTGGTCCCTAAAAACGGACTGACACCCCCAGACCCACAGGGGATCCCCAGAAAAGTGTGTGTGTTGGAGTTACTGGGGGTCCTGAGCCGTTACTGGGGGGTTACTGGGGGTCCCGGGCCGTTACCGGGGGGTTACCGAGGCTCCCGGGCCGCTCCTGAGGGACCCCGCGGGGCGCGGCGCTCCCGGGGGAATCGCACCGGAACCCCGGCAAGAGGCAGAACCGTGACCCCCCCAACCCCCGGGTGTGCGTGGGGGTCCCACCCGGACCCGTGGGGGGGTCCCTCGTCCCTCCCCGCCCTCACGTGTCGCCCTCCTCGGTGACGAAGCTCAGGACGTGCCGCAGCCAGGCCGCGGGGTCAGCGAGGGGCTCGGGGGACTCCGCTCCGGGGCTGGCGGGCAGCGGCGGCCCCAGCGGCCCCTCGCCCAGCGAGCCCAGCCCGCTGTCGCACCACTCGTCGCCCTCGGGCCGCTTTGCCTCGCCGGGGGCCGCCGGGGCCGCGGGGGCCGCGGCCGCCATCGCCGGGGCCGCCTCAGGCCGCGGCCGCCATCGCGGACCGGGGAATCCCCGCCCCGGCGCGTGCCGGGACCCGTAGTCCGCGCCCTCTCTTCCGGGTGTTTTAGCCAATCAGCACTCTCCGTCCGCCCGCGCATGCGTCCCTCCCTCCCAACGGTGCCGCCGCGGGGCACGCCGGGAGTTGTGGTGCGGGCAGGCCGCGCCCATGGCGGACCGGGACGGTAGCGGGGCCGGCGGGGCCGGGGGCGGCCCGCGGGGTGGGGCTTCCTCTCCTCCCGCCCCCGCCGGGGAGCCCCCCGCCGGGGACCCCCCCACCGTTCCCGTAGCTCCAGCTGCCCGCCAGGAGGAGGCGGAGCAGGACGCCGAGCCTCCGGTAACGCCCCCGGTGTCGTTCGTCCCCCCCCCCCCCCCCACTCCGGGGACGCTTTTGGGGACCCCCTGGGGGACGTTTTGGGGACCCCCTGGGGGACACTTTGGGGACCCTTTGGGGACCCCTCGGGGACGTTTTGGGGACATTTTGGGGCCTTCAGAGATATCTCAGAGGCTTTTGGGGACATTATGGGACATTTGGGGACATTTCTGGGACGGGCCAGTCGGAGTCAGAATTTGGGGACACCGTGGCTCTCCTGGGGGTGGTGTAAGGGATTTTTGGGGACACTTGGGGACACGGTGGGGGTTTAGGGGCGCGGGGTGGCGCTTTGGGGACAGCTGGGTGTCCCCGCAGTGGAGCTGCTGCGGACGCTGCTGTCCCGGACCCTGGGGCTCGGCGGGGACAGAGCGGAGCCGGTGCTGGACGAGCTGAGCCTGGCGGGCGTGAGCCGCTTCCTGGGCAGCGGGCGCTGTACGGGCACCGGGGACACCGGGAATGGGATACCGGGAATGGGGCACCAGGAACGGGAATGGGAATGGGGACGGGAATGGGGACGGGGCACCGGGAACGGGGACGGGAATGGGAATGGGAACGGGGACAGGAACGGTGCCAGTTCCTGAGGAGTGAGCACTGTAGGGACACAGGAACGGGACACCGGGAACGGGAATGGGGGGCACCAAGAACGGGGAGGGGGCAGCAGGAAAATCAGGAGCGGGGACGAGGAGAGTTCGGGGGGGAGCAGCAGAAAGGGCGTGGCTCTGGGGGCTCGTCCTGGGGGCAGTTTTGGGGTTCACCCCTTTGTGCCCCCCCCCAGGTAAGAACGTCATCTGCATGGTGGGCGCCGGCATCTCCACCTGTGAGTCCTCTTTGTGGGGGGCCCCGCGGGGGCTCAGGGACCCCCGGGATGGGTCCTGACGCCCCCGACCCACCCCCCAGCTGCCGGGATCCCGGATTTCCGCTCGCCCGGCACCGGGCTCTACTCCAACCTGCAGAGCTACAACCTCCCCTACCCCGAGGCCATCTTCGAGATTGGCTTCTTCAAGGTACCCCCCCCTTTTGCTCCCCAAATTTTGGGGGGGGGTCCTGAGCTTCTGGGGCTCCCCCTGACTTCCCTGTGCCCCCCAGAAACATCCAGAACCCTTTTTCGCCCTTGCCCGTGAGCTCTACCCGGGACAGTTCAAGGTAAAACACCCCCAAACCTCCTTCCCACCTCCCCCCAAATTTGGGGGAGACCCTCAAACGACCCCCCCGATCCTCCCCCAGCCCACCGTGTGCCACTACTTCATGCGGCTGCTGCAGGACAAGGGGCTCTTGCTGCGCTGCTACACCCAGGTGGGACACGCCCCTCTCTCCCCCGGCTCTTTTGGGGGTCACGGGGATTTTGGGGACCCTCTGACCCCTCCTTGGACCCCCCCAGAACATCGACACTCTGGAGAGGGTGGCGGGGCTGGACCCCGAGCTGCTGGTGGAGGCTCACGGCACCTTCTTCACCTCCCACTGCCTGCGGGCCTCGTGCCGCCAGCGCTACAGCCTGGCCTGGATGAGGGGTAGGGGGGGGCTCTGGGGACCCCCGAGTGCTGGGGACCCCCGGGCCCCCTCCCCCAACCCCCTGAGTGTCTGTGGGGGTGTCCCCACCTGCTCTGCCACAGGGCGGGAACAACAGGTTGTTGTACCCCAGCGCCCCCCAAATGTCCTTGTGTTTTTCGGGGAGAACCTCCCCTCGCGCTTCTTCGCCCTCCTGGAGTCGGTGAGTGGGGTTTGGGGGAGCCCCAAATCACACCCCACACCCCCCCCCGACTGAATTTGGGGCGGGGGGCTGGGCTAGGCGAGGTGATGCCCTCAGTGACAGTCCCCTCCCTCAACAGGACTTTGAGAAGGTGGACCTGCTGCTCATCATGGGCACCTCGCTGCAGGTGCAGCCCTTTGCCTCCCTCATCAGCAGGTGAGACCCCCTCCCCACATCTCCTCCCGGACCCCCCCAGACCCTGGGGAGCCCCCTGTGACTGTCCCCTCCCACAGGGTCCCCAGCAACACCCCCAGACTCCTCATCAACAAGGAGAAGGCGGGGCAGGTGAGGTGAGGGGGGGGCAGGTTGGGTGGCACTGGGGGGACGGGGACATGGAGCAGCTGCCCCCCCCCTTGTCGCCCCTTTTGTCCCCCCCAGAGTGACCCCCTGATGTCCCTGATGGGCTTTGGTGGGATGGACTTCGACTCAGACAAGGCCTACAGGTACGGGCAGGTTGGGGGGGCTCTGTCCCCACCCCGTGGTTTTGGGAACCCCCACCGTGGCTTTGGAGACCTCCCCCCCCCAAAGTGGTTTTGGGACCCCTACCCAGGGTGGTTTTTGGAGATCCCCTGAAGGTGGTTTGGAGGACTTCCATCGAGGTTTGGGACACCCCGTGGTGGTCTGGGGTCGTTGAAGGTGGTTTTGGGCACCCTCGAGGTGATTCCAGGGTCCCCCAGGATTTTTGGGGTCCCCCCCAAGGTGACTTTGGGGGTCCCCGTGTCTGCGCAGGGACGTGGCCTGGCTGGGGGACTGCGACAGCGGGTGCCTGGCTCTGGCTGAACTGCTGGGCTGGAAGGTACTCCCCCCACCCACAAATTCTGGGAGTCTCCCTGCCCCCCACAAAAACCCTTCTGGGACCCGGCTGAACCCCCGAATCTTCCCCTCAGGAGGAGCTGGAGGAGCTGGTGCGGAGGGAACACGCGGCCATCGATGCCAAGGCGGGGGACAGGGATGGGGGGGGCCCTCAAAAGCACCAGGGGGATGAGGACAAGGACGGGGGGAGCCCCAAAAAGAGCCCGGGGGACAAGGAAAAAGATCAAAGTGACCCCAAGAAGAGCCTGGGGGGCAAGGCCAAGGCTGAAAAGGACCCCAAAAAACCCCAGGGGGACAAGGACAAGACTCAAAACGACCCAGAAAAGTCACAGGGGGGCAGTGAGGACCCTCCCCATGGCACAGGGGGGACAACCCAAAATTAAATGTCACAGAGGAGTTTTTGGCTTTGTGTGGTCACTGTGGGGATGGAGGGGCTGGGGCTCTTTGTTTCCTTAAAGAAGAAAGAAGAAAACAAAAATAAAAATACAGAAAAGGGGGAAAATAAGTTAGAAAAAGAACAGGGTAGGTTGAGGGCACAAAAAGCTTTTTTGCCTCCCCTGAAAAGGGGTGTTACAGCTCCAAAATGTGTTGGAATTCACAGAGAGGGTGTGGGGGGATGCGTGTGCAAAACACTGAAACCTGTATAGTTTCTCACTTTTATATCTACTGAGACATAACATTAATTTACATTAATAAATGGTTTCAAAACAAAGCTCTGTATCTGCTGTGTGACACCTGGGATTTTGGGGTGGAAGGAGGAGCCGATACGGATCTGAGGGGTTGGAAAATGCAAATGTGACTTTTTTGGAACAGCAAATGGGACTCATTGCCCCACCCGGGCAGGATGGGATGATGATGGAGCAGGGATAGATTCCAAAATACCAAAGTAAGCCAGTTTGCAAATACCAGAACAACAACTTCCAAAATATCAAAATGACCCAATTTGAGCATATCGATTTCCAAATGTGTTATAAGGGCCAGATTCCCAAACCCAAAAGAATCCATTATTGTCCCAATGAGATCTGTGCTACAAAAATGGATATTTTCTGTTGTGTAAAGCATTACCCCATTGACAATAAATACATATATTTATTTTGTTTGTACAGCCAAACGTAGTCAAAGTTTTAGTTTAAAAGCAAACACTTGCAGAAGTTTTACTGCATAGGTGGTGTCTGAGAGAGCAGGCACTTGGGGAGAAAGGATGGAGTGAATCTGTTCCCTGTGTGCACAGGGAAAGACTGGCGAGCCAGCAAAGGGAGTATTTATAAATTGCATCAACATTTCACTGACACTCACCAGGCCAGGTTCCTGATGT